CAAATTATACCTGGTTGATATGTTCATCACCAGTCCACGTAAAACTACACGTGTCGTTCATGCAAAGCATAAATAATGGTGAATCATCTGGTTTACTTCCTGCTGGATAAATTATTGAATTCAGCGTGGCATCGGACGATTGTTTCTTACCTTGAGCGCCTGGAACGAAATTATTCAAATTCATAAAATAAACACTGAAAAAACCGCAAGTAAAAGTCAAAACGCAGTGGAAATTATGCAAGTGTTTTTCAACATTTAACTAATAAAAATCATTCCTTTGGCAAAATTTTCCTCTACGTTCCTCATTCTCCGAGGACTCATTCGCCGGAACTAATTCTCCCTGACGCGACAATTTTGAGTTATTCCAAAGACGCAAAACACAATTTTGATTAAACAAGCAGACTGTGATAACACCAATCCTCCCGTTCTACTACTTCAACTGTATCAGTTTCAGGGGTGTGTGGCCTGGGTGCAAAATTCCACACACACAAACACACACACACACACACACTAGCAAACTCGTAGTAAACTTCCAAAATCTAAGGAGTCTACGAAACCCAAAACCAACTTAAAACTGCCGCAATCGACAGGAATTTCGTAGATCTCTGGATTCTTAACGTAAGCAGTGAAACTAATTGCAAGCAGATTCAAACTAACCAGAATGCTGTGCTTCCTGTAAACGTACAGCCGCTAGCCACAGGATATATGCAGCCGTATATGCTCGGTAATTAATGGCACACATAAACGGTGTGAAGCCTTGTATATCTCTACAAATTACAAAACATTTCTTACAAATGTAAGAAATTTACACAGGAATTCACCCAAATTTACCCAAAAATTTACCCAAACAAAAAAAAAATTGCCAAAAATGGGTAAATTTTATATATCTTGAGTAAATTTTTATATTATTCATCATCTGTAGCGCTGACACTAGAGATACCCTCTCTTCGGTGGTGCCAAATTCAAGCGATCCCTGTTCCCAAAAAAGAGATTCTCCAGCTGTTCGAAACGCAACCAACACATTCTACTAGTTTTTCTTTTGGCCATAATGCCGTAGTTTTTTTTTTCCCCCACATAAACCACATGGCATTCCATAATTCCACCTTGATTGAAAGTTTTCAATTTTCAAAAAGTTCTAAAAACCACATGGCTTTCCCAAAATATTGTTCCAAAAACCACATGGCTTTTCCAAAATAAAACTTCACTAAAACTACTTGAAATTTTCCAAGAACAGAAAAAAAAAATCCAAAAAATTTCCAAAAATAAATCACATGCATAACAGCCACCTATACGTCGAATATCAGGCCTTACATGCACACAGATCGACCACATTTCCAGCTTGCAAAAAAACCGCTAAAAAATTTACTGAAAAAAAGTAGCCCAATAAAAACTTTTAAAAATCTGAAACACACCTTACTGTCATTAATTCGTACAGATAAGGCGCCAAAACCGCATGAGAACATAATATTTTGAGGATTTCAATTGAATTGCTTTGCCGCTTCTTCAGCTCACTCACTGCATTCACAAAAATCGGCATCGATGCTGCAAAAAAAAAAAATCTCGAGCAAGAGAAGGATAAGTAATAAGTAAGGATAAGTAACTACTGGCAGGAGAAGGATAAGTAATCTCAACCAAATTACGAGACACCTTTTCCATAGAAACAAAATGCCGAGCTTTGTTATACCATCAGTCCGCTGATATCAAAAAGCAATGTAAGCAAAAAAAAACTTCCAAAACAAACTCTAAAAAAACCCAAAAACAACAAAAACATTCTCCCAACCCCCAAAAAAACTTCCAAAAACAAAACAAAAAAAAACGCAAAAAAATTCCCAGCGGCATACCCCCCGTGCCCCCCGAAGTCAAAGGAGCCCGTCCGAGATCCACCCGATGTACCAGTCCATCATGAACAATATTAGCAAAGCAGTGTACGCCAAAAAGAGAACTATGCTGGGAGAAAATGCGAGTCAAAGCTGCCCTAGCGGATTAACAAATGGTAATTAACAAATTAATAAATTAGTTTTTTAACAAATTAACAATAAATGAACTGAGGAAAGTTGCCCAGGCAGCGGAGGGATCCACTTAAACAACGACTTCATGGAACTACATGGGACGCGACGAGTTCAGGGCCAAACAGTCAAAAGGGTTAAAAACACGGTAAAATAGGATACCTTCATCTTTCATTTCTTCGATGAAAACAGCCCCTTTCTTGGCATCTTTCCAATTTTTCGCAAGATCTGCCAGCACTGAAACAATCAGTTATTGAAGCACAGCTTCTTGCAAAAAAACCCAAAAAAATCAGCGAATAATAATTCAGTGGCTTACCCTCTTCTACATTACCAACTTCATGACCGGGTCGACGCAACTGACTGTTTGCCATTAATTCTCTGATTAACATTTGTTCTCTGCAAAACAAACAAAGCTCATGTTCAATTTTTTTATTTTTATTTCCCACACAAAATTGATAAAAATTCCTCATCTTTCTTCCCAAAAAAGCAAAAACAGGAAAGAAATGCGAACATTTCCCACCTATATCTGCTGGGTTTACTGGCTAGGCGGCTCCTCGACTGCCCCCGTGCCCCGGCTTATCGAGTTAGATCGTCGGCTCCTCGGCGATAATCCGGAGAAGCAGCAGGGTCTAGCCCCACGTAAGTCGACTGGTTCGCCTCTACAATTCCACAACCCCACACTGAATCGACATTACTTTACAATACTCATACAGGCCACTTTCGCGCCACTGCACGACCCATCTAGGAGGGAGTCATTATGCAACGCACCTATCCCAGCAAAAACGAACTCCTAGCTGAAGCACCACACTCTGGTCTAGAAGGGATAACATTGGGGACAAGACAGAACGATTAATACACATCAAGGACATCTTGCGCCGGCCAAAGTCATGTCAAAAGTTTTTGTTGAAACAGCCGCTGAACTGAGAATTCCCTCAGGATACGACGTGTACTCAGTTTCGTCAGCGTGCTGACCATCACGAGGTGGACCATTGGTCAAAACAGCTGGTCAATCACGGCAATTCATCAAGGTCAATCAAGGAAGCAGCTCAAAACAAAGTCCATCCACGTGCAGAAGAAAAAAAGAGTGAAAAAACGAACGTCAAAATCAGGATCATCGCAAAGAAAAAAAACCGCCCGCTGCGTTCGTAGTGTGATACGATGAATTCGAAAAAATCCAAATCCAACAAAAATTCGAAAAAATTCAGAAATCCAAAAAAATTCAAAAAAATCAAAAAACTTACAAAAACCTTACAAAAAAAAATCAAAAAAACTTAAAAAAAATCAAAAAACTCAAAAAAAAAACAAAAAAAAAGCTAACTGCTCGTTAGCGCCACGTCGTCGTAACATGCGTTTCCAGCGTGTATCATATGCCGATCGGGTTTCTTCAGCTGCCGTCATGTCCACATCTGAAACTAAAACTCGGAAGCACTTATCAACAACAGATGCGAATGTCACACGGGAACGCAAGAGGTAATTTTTACCCGGCTGTTGTGTACGTGGTGCGACCGGTTTATTCTCGGTGTCCACGGAAATTTCCATCGTATCAACGTCCTCTTTGTTTGTATGAGCAAAACTGCTCATCACTGCTGCATGCAAAATTGTACGATTTCCATCGGCACGAGCAAGCAACAATTCCGTCTTCACGTACTCACGGTCTGCAAAACAGTTAGTCACTACTTGTTCACGATTTTCACAAAAAAACTCCACTTTTCTTTGGACACGATATAGGAGGGGAACAAGGGTGCTACTTAGGAGTTC